TCCGACGTTGCAAAAAAATGCTTTCGGAAAATCACGACTGGAGCCCTAGACCCCATCTGTCTGCGCAACGTTTCGGGCCGGATCGATTTGTGAGGGTCCCCGGCGCTTCGGGATGAAAGCGCCTGGAGTGGAAAAAACAAACAAAAAAAAAAAAAAACACGCCTGGATCACAGGGCCCCGAGCGCGGTAACGGATTCGCGCGAAAGTTTCTTGTCTTTTCAGCGGCGGCGCTGCACGGCGTCCCGCTCGCCGCCGTACGCGGAGGCTGGGCGCTTGCCGCGCACCCGGAGGCGACGCAGCCCGAAGGCGGCTGCGACGGTCTCTGCCAGCGGGGCGGCGCTCAGCCGCCGGCCCCCCGGGAGGACGGCGTCGACCCGCGCAAGTCCTCCAGGGAAAAAATCGAAAGGGGGGTTTTCGGTCGTGTTGGGCCCAGGCCCCGGGACCATCAAAGAGAAACTCGGAATGAAAAACTGGCCCCGGGGAAAGATTCAGGACTTCGGGGGGCCCCGTACTGGAGAAGTCAGGACAACGCACGTCTGGGAAGATCAATGGAGGACTGGTACCGATACCGCTGCTCATCCTGGAGAGCTTCCGTCGCCACGGCCGGACTCGCCCCGAAAGCCAGCTCAGAACGCGCCCCAGGAGAGGTTCGTTGGAGGTGAGCACCAACACCAACACTGGATGTTGCCTCCACCGGGAGAAGATGACCCCAGATTCTGGCGCTGGTGGAAATATTTCGGCCACTCAGAAGCCCCCGAATATTGCCACTGTCGCAGAGATCGAGAGCATATTCCCTCGGTGGAGGCACACCGCCAGTCCAACCGCTGGGCCTCTGGTGCACTCTGCTCCCCCAGTTCCAGCTCCCAGCCTGCCCGCTCGAAGCTCAGCCAACAGGTGGCCTCGCACCGCCGCGAGGCGAGTGAGCGGCGCCGCGCTGACTCGGCAACGCTCCACGCCAGCGAGGGTCACAAAGGCAATCGAGTCGCCATCGAGGGATGCCTCACGGGCGGCCAACGTATCCGAATCCGCGCCCTCGCTTGCACTCCCGGGCGCGATCCCGCGGTCGCACGGATGCACTCCGCGCGGGGCATCCTCGAAAAAACACCCCCTATCCATGGGGTGGCGACACAGTGGACTGGCCGGCGAGGCCGAGGATACGGATACGCGTTTTGCCCACGAATGCCTGCAGCAGAAGAGATGGCAGCAGGTGCGCCGTGTAGGCCAGGCCTCCAACTGGTGCCGGGAGGTCGCACTGGCCGAAGTCATTGTCGCCACAGGCCACGGCAGAGCCGTCGCTCCTGAGAAGGACTGTATGATCTCCTCCAGCAGCAACTTGTAAGTAAGCCAGGCCTCCAACCAGCGCTGGAAGGTCGCACTGGCCGAAATGATTACAGCCGCAGGCAACTACAATACTGTCGCTCCTCAGCAGAAGTGTATGATTAAATCCGGCGGCAGCCCGTAGATAAGTCAGGCCTGAAACAAGCACTGGGACGTCGCACTGGCCCAAATTGTTTAGGCCGCAGGACACCGCAGCGCCGTCGCTTCTGATAAACACTGTGTGGTCACCTCCAGCAGCAACCCGCACGTAACGCAGTTCTCCGACCAGCGGTGGGACTTCGCACTGGCCGAAGTCATTGTTGCCACTAGCAACTGCAGAGCCATCGCTCCTGAGCAGGACTGTATGCCCTCCCCCCGCAGCACATTGAACAAAAGTCAGACCTTCGACCAGCAGTGGTAGGTCGCACTGGCCGAAGTCATTGTCGCCAGAGGCCACGGCAGAGCCGTCGCTCCTGAGCAGGACCGTATGATCTCCTCCGGCGGCACTTTGAACAAACGTCAGGCCTCCAACCAGCGCTGGGAGGTCGCACTGGCCGAACTCATTTCGGCCACAGGCCACTGTAGAGCCGTCGCTCAGGAGCAGGACTGTATGATCTCCTCCTGCAGAAACTTGCACGTGGGTCAGGCCTCCTGCGAGCGCTTGGAAGTCACACTGGCCTTAGGGAAACCAAGCGATACCTCCACCGCTGCTCCCCAAACCTCTCCTGAGGTGCGTCCTGACGAGGACCTCGAGGCGAATCCAGCTGTGGCGACGCGGGCCTCCCAGGAGGCCCCTGAAGGCGAAAACGAGGTAGAGGGGGGGGGCGATGTTGGTGCCTCTTCCTCCCCCGGGGCCTGGACCATTCCGGCCGCAGGCCACCACCGTGCCGTCGCTCCTGAGCAGCACCGTGTGCTCTCCTCCGGCGGCGACCATGCCCGGCAGGCGCGCGGGGCGCACCCTGGCTCGGCCCTGCGGGCTGATGGGAGCGCGGCGCGGGCGCGGAGCCTGACCGCAAAAAATGCCCTGCAGATCGGCCCACGGGAGCGAGAGAGCAGGGGCTGTCCAAGAGGCGGGAGGCACCTCCGAGGCGCGACTCTTTCGGAGCTGCACAGGCCGCAGGCACCCACGGCGACGAGGGTGGCCTCGTGGCACCGGCCCAAGGCCGCGAAGCACAGCAAAATGCGGCATGTGTACGCATAAATGAGTGTACAGATGTCGGTAGATCTACATGTGTATAAATGTGTGTACGTACATAACATGTGTATACGCATACAGCTGGTGATACACATGCACACCCATAGCTGTAGATGTGTACACATGCATATACATACGTATACAAATGTGTGTATATATGCATACATGTATATACATATAGCTGCGGTTCAATAAATATACGCCTGTATGTGTGCACGCACGTGGCATACATAGATGTACATGTGCATGTAAACGTATCTGAATCTATATATATATATATACGTACATACATACATACATACATACATACATACAAACAAACAAACAAACAGACAGACAGACAGACAGACATACATTACATACATACATACATACACACATACATACATACATACATACATGCATGCATGCATGCATGCATACATACATACATACATACATACATGCGTACATACATACATACATATATACATACATATATATATAGGCATCCATACATTCATACATACATGCATACATACATAATTACATGCATACATACATACATACTTACATACATACATACATGCATGCATGCATGCATGCATACATACATATATATATATACATATACATATACATATACATATACATATACATATACATATACATATACATATACATATACATATACATATACATATACATATACCTGTACATAAGGCCTGGCCGCCACGCCCACGCAGCCCCACACAACCCGAGCGCTGGCGGCCTCATAAAGAAACCCACACACACAATGACGGCGTTTTCCACACCAGGGGGTAGCGCCACAACGGGAGGCGTCGAGATTAGAAAACTACTCGACGCGGAGAGACCCATACGCATCCGTGTGCATTTACGTTCTAGCCCTGAGTGTCTGAATGTAGATGGGTGCGGGTGTGAGCAGGTGTGAGTAAGCATGACTGCGAGCGACTGGGTATGAGTCAGGCATGAATGAGTATGGGCTGGACCTGGTCTGAGTAGAAGTGGCTGGGCATGAGTGCCTCTGAATACATGAATATGAGCCTGAAAAGCTGAGTGCGAGCGCTTCTGCGTATGATCGCCTGGACGCGCGTGGGTCTGAGTGCAAGTGCGTCTGAGCATGTGTGGCTGAACACGAGCAGATCTGCGTATGAGTGGGCTTGAATGGGAGTGGGTCGGAGCACGAATGTCTGAGCGGTTCCCGGGGCCTTTTTGGCCGTCCTGTGGCCCACTGGGACGTCCTAGAGCCTCCCAATGCAACACACCTGCTCGACCTTCCCGGTGGGAGCCCGAATGGCCCTGCGGCTCCCCCTTGGGAGGCCCGACGAGCGTCATGCCGCCATCGCTGCCGCCCTCGCCGCAGCGCCGTCGTCGCCGCCGCCGCTGCCGCAGCTGCCGACACCCGCCGCCAACCGCCAGGCGCGAGGCCGCCCCCTTCTACGGGGCTCCGCGCTCTCCGGCGGGGCCCCGCCCGCTGCCGCGGCCGACGGCAACTCCTCGGAGAGGGGGGCGGGGCGGGGGGGGGGAGGAGAGGAGGAGGAGGAGGAGGAGGAGGGAGGGAGGAGGAGGGAGGAGGAGGAGGAGGAGGAGAGGAGGAGGGAGAGAGGAGGAGGAGGAGGGAGGAGGAGGAGGAGGAGGAGGAGGAGGAGAGGAGGAGGAGGAGGAGAGGAGGGAGGAGGAGGAGGAGGAGGAGAGGAGGAGGAGGAGGAGGAGGAGGAGGAGGAGGAGGAGGATGAGGAGAGGAGGAGGAGGAGGAGGAGGAGGAGGAGGAGGAGGAGGAGGACGCGCGCAGGGCGAGGAGACGGGCCGGGGCCCGTCGCGAGAGGAGCGGGGATGCGGGGAGGAGGGCTCTGCTTGTCGAGCTGCCCAGGGGAGGCGAGGAGGGGCGTGGACAGCCCCAGGGGGGGCGGCAATGGTGCGCAGGAGCCCCGGAAGCCACGGACGACTGGAGCCCCTGGGTACACTCATCGTGCTAGCTAGCACAAGGAACGCTGAAGAAAGAACGAACGGACGTACGTTCTTTATTCTCCTCCTCCTCCTCCTCCTCCTCCTCCTCTCATCCTCCTAATCATCATCATCATCATCATCATCATCACCATCATCATCATCATCATCATCATCATCATCATCATCATCATCATCATCATCATCATCATCATCATCATCATCATCATCATCATCATCATCATCATCATCATCATCATCATCATCATCATCATCATCATCATCATCATCATCATCATCATCTCATCATCATCATCATCAGCAGCAGCATCATCATCATCAGCATCATCATCAACATCCTTATCCTCATCCTCATCCTCATCCTCATCCTCATCCTCAACGCTCGCCGTGGCCGCTGAACGCGGCCACGGCGAGCCTCGGCCGCGACGTAGGTTCTCCGACCTGGACCTAAGGAAGGACCCGAAAAACAGAGCCCCTCCTGAGCCCAAGGTGGTCCGGAACTCAGCGTCTTGGCTGCACGTGCTGTGCCCACTCCCTCGGACGCCGAAGCACTTCGCGAGTCGTCTGAAAAGGTCGGCGGAGATCTGGTCTGGGCCAAGGCAGACCAGACTTTGTCGAAGAGGATCGTGAACTCGTTGGCCATCGGAAGTGAGATTATTATGAAGAAGCGGGGGACCGACCTGGAGGGGGGAAAAGTTTGGGTGGGCACCGACGTCGTGGTCCAGTTCGCCATCCGGGGAGAAGCTCTGAAGGTTGGCTACGGCTCTGACTGGGAGGAGTGGCTCACGCAGGGCGGCCTTCCCGAGTTCCCGAATATGCTTCAGAAGCTGTCTGACCGGTCAGTGTGGGCCCCGAGTAACGGTTCTGGGCAGGGCTGGTAACAGGGGAGGGGTGCCAGCGGGGCGTGAGCAAGGAAGCTTCACTGCAGAATCACTGGGAACTTCTGCATGATCGGCACTCTTCCCAACGTGTCCCTTTGGCCTGCATATCGGGACAGGATCACTGGCGAAGCCACGCCGTTGCTGTCTACGATCCGAGGGACTTGCTTGCGTCCTGCACGTGAGGACGATATCATCACAGGCACGTGGAACCTTGGCGTGTACACTTAGGCAAAGCAGGTCGAGCTTGAGACTGCGACGAACAATCGGAGCATTCGGGCTCTGTGCGTGCAGGAGACGTGGATACCCTAGACCGACGTCTTCGCCACCGAAGTCAGCTTCCTTGTCATCTTGTCGGGTAGCACTGCGGAGGCGGGTCGGGAGCAGCGTAGGGGGGGTCGGCTTCATCGTCGCACCCTGCATCAGGAAGTCGCTTGCTAGTCGTCGACAAGCCACGGCTAGAAGGGCGTCACTGAAGATCCGAAGTTTGGGGGACGGCAGACTCGTTTTCCGCTTATGCGCCACACAATGGGTACGAAAACCAAGTGCGCCAATATTGACTCCACGAGCTGGGCGCGTTCGTTTCGGACTGTTCTTCTCATGGCCCTAAACTGGTTCTTGGTGATATGAATTCAAAACAATGCCAAGAATTCCACAGGGGAATATCATACTGTGGGGCCACATCTTTCGACGTCAGGAGCACGAGTGCAAAGAGGATGCGAACCGTCGCCTGCTGATCGAGTTGTGCAACCAGATGCACGGCTGCCTTGCGAACAACTCCTTCGACGAGCAGGAGGAGGAGCGGCTGGCCACAAATGTCAACACAGGTTGTTCGGCGGGTCGTCTGGCTGGGCCGCGAACACACTCGCAAATAGATTCCTGGTGTGCGAACAAGACTGGTTACACAGTGCTATCTGCGAGGCGGGAATGCATCCATATCCACCGCCTGAGAACCGACGTCCTGGTGCCCCAGCGGGCGGTGGATCTGGATATACTTCGGCCCCCAGGGGCCCGAACATGTCCATACCCACCGCCTGCCGAGGCTCCGAAAACTGACCCTCCAGGCGGTGGCCATGTATGAATTCCCGCCTCGGACTGTCAGAGCGCAGGCCGGTTCCGACGCCCAGGTCCCAGAACGTGACAAGCGTGCCGCGCCGTGCCGTGCCCCCGCGCCGTGCCGCCCCGGATGTTGGACGAAAAAGAGAAGGTATGCCAAAGGGCTCGCAGATACCCAAAAGTGGTCGGAAGAATCGCCTCCAGACTGTTTTTCCCTGCTTTGGGATGTTCCTCCTGTAGAGGGACAAGCCCGCCTCAGGAGGAGGAGGAGGAGGTGGAGGAGGAGGATGCCCAGGTCCTAGACCGTGGGAAGCGTGCCGTGCCGTGCCGTGCCCCCGCGCGCCGTGCCAAGCCCGCGCGCCATGGGCTCCAGCAAGCGGCGCACCCGCGTGCCGTGCCGTGCCGTGCCGTGCCGTGCCGCGCTCGATTTTTCCTGCGGCACCGGCCTCGGAGGCCTGAGAATGGGCACCAACACCAACACAGGGGGGCTGCCTCCACATGGGGGAGATCAGGGGGACGAAACATGACACAAACATTAAACTCGGAGGTCCGCAGGGATTTCTCGGATCGGCGCTGGAGCCCCCCGGCGGCGCCTCCTGCGCCGCCCCTGGCGCGCTCCGCGCGCCAGGGAGGGGGGTCCAGCGCCGATCCGAGAAATCCGCGCGGACCTCCGAGTTTTTATGTTTATGTCACTTTTCGTTCCCCCAGAGATGATCCTAGACTTCGGTGGTGGTTGCAATAGTTCGGCCACCTTGGAAGCCAGAACAGTACGGCCATCACCGAGATCGGGATCGTCTTCCCTCGGTGGAGGCACACGGCCGATATTTGTGCTGGTGTCAACCTCTAGGCTTAAGTCGGGCCTGTCCCCCTACAGGGGGATTTTGGGCGAAAAATCAAAAATACTCAAAACATACCCCCAAAAATCATCGAACGTACTCCAAAAAATAGTCCCCAGACTATTTGTCGACTATTTTTGAATATTTTCCTCCTGCCGAGGGACAGGCCCGACTCAACTCTAGGCCTGCGATGACCACCCGCACCATCCGCGCCCCCTTCGAGAGGCCAGGCTTCACGTGGCGGTGGACAACA